ACTTAGACCTAGGTTGGACACAAAATGGGTAATTTATATTGAAAGCCAGGGGGCAAAGATGAGTTCTGGATATGACTGAGGGATCAATAATAATAGCTAACACATACATATGTTAGGCACTTATACAAGTAATTTACATATATTAACTCATTCAAAACTCAATACTAAAGATGGTAACTATCCTAATCTTCATTTTAAAGTTGTGGAAATTGAGCCCCAAGACTAATAAATGGCATACCTGGCTCTAGACTCTCCTCTTAACCACTTTATTGTAACACCACCAATAAGATTGGAAGAGGGCCATGTTGCTATAAAGAGGATGAAGCAAAAGTGGGAGGACAGCAGAGGTTAAGGAATGAAATGATGGGGCTAAAAATATGGATCAGGAATTGACAATTACAAGTAAAAGACTGGTTAAGGGGGAACAATAATATTAAGGAGAATAAAGATAAGGAATAGTTGTCAAACGAAGATAAAACCAGAAAGTCCATCAAAGTGGGTTGGGGGAGATGAGGAAGGCCCAGGAAGACCTCAAGGAAAAGGCTGCCATGTCAGCCAAGATGCAGAGAGCAAATGAGGAAAGGCAATTCTTACAAGATGGTGAAGGTGCCGTTGTAGATGCCGGGCTCTGACACAGGCACTTGGTTGAGCTTCTGATCTGTGCCCAAACCAATACACGACAGTGTCCCAGTACTGCAGGTACAGAGCTCACAGATGTTCATGGTGGCACTCTGTTCTGTCATTGGAGGGACCATCTCATATGAGTCTAGTTGCTGAGTTTTGGCAATTTCCATGTCAAAAGATAGAGCTGAGACCTCAGACAGGGTTGGCTGCAGAGCCTGAATAGGCTCTGAATATGGAAGTGTCGTTTCAGGGTGCTTTGGAGGAGTATCAGTTACCAAAGGTGGTTCTGGGGTGATGGTGAGTCCCAGGTCCAAATGTGGAAAGGTTGACTGTTGAGTCTGAACAGGCTGTGGACGTGGAACTGTTGCCTCAGAGTGTTTTGGAGGAGCTGTAGTCTGCTGCAGAATGTCAGCCTGTGAAATAGGCTGAGCTGGGATCTCATGCTGGTATGGAGGGTTGATATTTTCAGTTGGCCTGGGAGGGTAAAAAGAGACCTCCTTGTCAGTTGCAGGTGGTTCATTCTTCTTAGGGGTCTTTGGTTTTATCAAAATCCCCAGATCCACATCATCAACACTGATAGACAACACTTCATGCTGAATTTTACCCCAATCGGGAAGTGAAGATATTGCTTCGTTATGTGCTGAAGGTTGAGCTTCAACATCCATAGTGGATTCTGGGAGTTGACCTTGACCCTTCAGATGGACTGAAGAAGTTTGTGTATTGGCAAGAGACACAGAAGGCAGAGCTGAGCTCTGTGAAGAATGAACATATTCAGGGTAAGGTTGCTGCTTATCTTGATCTCCGTGGTGGCTGAACAAAATCAAAGGCTCATGGGACACAGCAGACTGAGTTGAGGCTTCTTGTTGGGTTGGAAGCTGCGTTGAAGGCTCCTGAGGGTTCGGCGTAGCTTCCGTTTTCTCAGGAGCCTCTGCAAGAACATGGTTGACAGAAGGAAGTTCAAGATTTGCAGGCTTTTGCTGACCCCAAGCCCAGGGCTCGGTAGGCCCCAGGGGGATGGAGGTCAGCAGGCTTGAGTCCATGGCCAACTCCGGAGCTGCCTGTACCTGCAGCCACAACAGCTGCCACAGGAACAGGAGCCGTGGGGCCCACATGTGCAGCCCGGACATGACAGGCAGAGGTCCGGGGCACAGTGAGCCATCAAGGCGAATGGGGTAAGGAGAGTGACCCAGAAGACTGGGCCACAACAGGTGATCCAAAAGAATGGAGCACAATGAGCGACCCAGGAGACTGGAGCACAAGGAGCGATCCACAATGCTGGGGCACGTACACGCAACCCAGAGAAGTGGGACGCAAGTGCCTGCGCTGAGCAGGAGCCCAACAATTGGCAGCCGTGTCACAATTGGCCGCCCTGTCACAATTGGCCGCCCTGTCACAATTGGCAGCCATGTCACAATTGGCAGCCATGTCACAATTGGCAGCCTGTCCTGCACGTGCCCCTTAGCAACCAAGCACCCCTCCCCCACCTCAAGTTCTAACCTTTATTTAGGCAATCTTGATTATTCTTGGGCTGAAGTGAATATAGGAGGCCGCTAATTGATGTCTTTCTCTCTCTCTTTCTCTTTCTCCCCTTCCCTCCCTCCTTCAAATCAATAAACATATTCTCAGGTGAGGATTTAAAAAAAAGAGTACAAAGGACTTGTGCCAATATGTTTAGCTAAATCAATGGCCTCCACGATTTATACACTGAAGCCATTTCTAAGCAATAGGGGATAGAGAATGATAACAAATGCCTCTTGAACACACAACAAAATGTGCTCATCTTCTCTAGAGAAGCTTCCCTGACCTCTCCTCCAACTGTATCCTGCACCTCCCTCTGGTCCTACAGCTCCTGAGCTACCTCCATCATGTCATCTGTAACATACCTATTTGATCGCTTCCCCCACTGGAGAGTGAGCTCCTCGATGCAGAAAACATAGTATGTTTATCTCTGTGTACACAGTAGGTGTTTAATAAGTACTTGTTTAATAAGTGTCCAGAAGCAGTCCAAACTATCAGTTTTAACGAGGGGGCGGCGGGATGGGGGGGTGGGAGAGGGGAAAGATCGGTAACATAGACTCAGGATGTGAACTCCATTTAGCTAAGTGAAGTAAGAATGAACTGGGCATTCTCACACTCTACTCAAAATGGGATTCCCAAGCCCTAATGAGGTTATAATTCCCCTCCTTCCCTGCCCTCAACCCCCATACCCAGTGGATTTACTGCAAGGGATACTATTCTAGGACTTAACTCTTTCCAGTTCAGGAATGTGAGATGTCACAGCAGGAGTCAACCCTGGTTCGAGGAAGCTCCAAATGCACTCTGTGGGTCACCCATCCTCTCACTGCAAGGAAACCTCTCCCTTTCCCTGACTCAAGGTAATATAGAGGCTTCCCCTTCTATGCCTTTGACTGGTACTGTGCTCATAACTCCATTCTGGGCACTTTCACATCTATTGTCATTTTGTCCTCCCCTCCTCTGGGAGCTTCGGGCAGGACTGGCAACTCCAGCAGTAATATGGCCTGGCAAAGGCCCTGCCTGGTTCTTTTTATTCCCCCCAGCATATCCATATCCATGGTTTTATCTGATCCCAATCTGTTTTGTATAGGATAGGAAGCAAAGCCTAGAGAATTTAACAGACTTGTTCAAAGTCACACAGGATGTGTGTTAAGACCTAAGATCTTCCAACTTCTGGTCCAAAGAGGACCAAACTTCCTTAAAAGCTATGACCTTCTGAGATGGAACATACAGGGAAACTCTGAAGGTACCAGACTCTCAAACAGACTATAAAGATGCTGCGGAGCAGGAAACAGAGGTGGCCAATCTTAACATTCTGTGTTCTCCTAGAAAGACAGTGCTGAGATGCATGAGTGTTGGGGAGAACATTGGGTACTGGGGCCGAGAGCACTAGCCAGAACGTAGAATGCCTAGATCTAGAGAATTCTTTGCAAGCAGCTCCTGAGATTGGAATTCCAAGGTGAGCTGGAACACATGATCATTTTGCCAAGATAATAAGCCAAAAAGAGGTAAATCCTTTGGGTTTTACCAATATAGTATCCAAGTCACTGGGCAAAGTGGGACTGTAGATTGCAGAAAGAAGTACACAATTATCCAAAGTGCAGGGTTCAGGATGGAGCCTGGAGGTCAGTGAACTGGTTGCAGTAGTTCATCATAGAGGCCACCCCTCAGCCAGCCAGCCCACACCTCTTAAAGTAGATAGAAAGGGCCTTCAACCCCATCACAGCCTGTTCTTGGCAGTCAAGGGTGGGGGGCAATGACTTCAGGGCAAGTTAAATTCCTGACAGAAGTTTAAAGTGTCACTAGTATTTGACGGGTTCAAGCAAACCTTCAGGATTCTATATGAAGCATTTTACCTACTTCAAAAAGTGCTTTTATACCTGTTTCTAGCTCTTTCCAGGCTGGAATATCCAGCAAGAGAGGAAAATAAATCAGTAAACCGTTATTGAGTACCTGCGATATGACAGGCACTATGTGAGGCAGGAGAAACATGCTTTGGAAAGTGGTGGTTAAGTATTAAGAAAGTCTTCCCCAAAATGTGATATCTGATTTTTATAAAAATTTATATTAGCTTGCAACAATAGCTTGCAACTAATTTATATTAGTTTACAACAAAAAATATACATGGCCACTGAACAAAATTTTTAAAAAATTATAAGAAAGCAAAAATTACTCAGCATTCTGAACATAAAAGTAGTTTTGTATTTTGCTATTATTATTTAATAGTCTTTCTTGAACTAGCATATCTTATCATCCTATATAATAAAGAGGTAATATGCAAATTAACCCTCCCATCTTCATAAGATGGCTGCCTACGACCAGGCCGGCATGGGGGTTAGTGAGGGACAACCAAATGACTGAACAGCAGGCTGTGTGGGGCGACGAGGCCGGCTGGGGGGTGGTTAGTGAGGGGAGACCAGGCCGGCA